GCCCTAAGAGTACCTTAAAGTACAACTCTACTAAGCATGATTTGCATCTAGCCTGCATGCATAATAACCCTCAAGGGAAAAAAAAAAAAAAATGTAGGACTTGTTCACTCCAGATGCTTTGTTGTGTGTTTTTTTTAGACGTGTCTGAAATGCACGCACAAAAGAAACAATGTTTTTTCAATCACCCTACTTCACAGCATTGAGCTCAGTTCCAGCGCTTTAAAAAAAAAAAAGCAGGATGCATTTCTTTGCACCAGAATGGGTGTAACTGTGTGTAAACATACCAGAACACAATGGCTAGCACCATGATTATGAATGTAAGGGCAGACATCCTTAGCAGAAAAAAAAAAACACATTATAAATGCAGTAAAATGCATTAAAATGCCTGTAAACGCACACTAAATGTAGGCACTGTAGTGTGAACTAGCCCTAAGGGCTGGTTTACACCAGACGCAATCAAACTTTTTAAATGGAGTACGAATACATATGCAAGAAAAATGTAATTCAAAGAGCCTGGTTTACAGCATTGCAGTGCTTTCACGCACCTACAAAATAGTACAGCACAGGGGCGAACTGACCATTTGGAAACTCGGGCACTGCCTGAGGGCCCAGGGTCAGTAGGGGGCCCCATGAGATGCCCCTGGTACCTTTTTCATAGGCTTTTTTGAGTTTGGGCAAGGATACAGGGGCCCCATGATCCTCTATTGCCCGGGGGCCCCATGAGTTGTCAGTCCGCCCCTGGTACAGCATGCTGAATTTTCACAAGTAAACGCACTGGAATGCCTGTAAAGACACAGGAACGCACCACAAATGCATTTAAATGTAACTCATAAAAAAATGGCTAATGAACTGAAAACACAAAAAAAAATGCACCAGAAACATGCTCCAAACTTTCACAAGTAAACGCACTGGAATGCCTGTAAAGACACAGGAATGCACCAGAAATGCATTTAAATGTAACTCATAAAAAATGGCTTAACGCACTGAAAACACAAAAAAATGCACCAGAGACATGCTGCAAATGCACTACAAATGCATGTAAATGTGCATGTGGAACTGCACACTGAACACAGTGACTGTGGTGAGAACTAGCCCTAAAAATATAACTGAAGGCAAAGTTTTTTTTATATATATTTAGATACTGGATTTAAAGTGGAGACAGATTAGAACACCTGTCCGGATTTATTGATGTCTGTGTTTAGGAGATTCACACTATTTGTCCTGTTTACCATTATCACTGAAAGTGAATGAAATTCCCAAATTTTGGGTTGTCACCAGAACAGGAAGAGAGTGGAAATCTTCCAATGGGGACACTAGTTGTGGTGATACTGGTGACTACCTCGGCTTTCCTCTCACTTCCTGTTTTGGATATGGGACAGGAAGTGAAGGGAAATCTCCTCAATAGTGCACAGATGGGGAAAAAAACTGACAGGGAGTATAATCCTCCCTTGCTGGATCCAAAATGAAAAAAAGTTTTGCCTATAGTTCTACTTTACAGCCCAATTTGTCTGTCACCACTCATATTCAAACTTTCCTCTGACTGCATATGATTGGTGAAGGAAAGGTTTTGCAGCTCTTAATAAAAACATATTGATACTAGAAGTCTGTGTTTATGGCGTTCCCATGTTTTATATGAATGTGGAAGAATAAGGCCCCTTTCACATGGGTGAACCCATCAGCGGATTCACTTACTAAGCAGGGGGTTCTCTCCGCTGATCCCTGCTGAACAAAAGGATGACAGGTCCGTGTCCATTCCATTGCTGCAGAGCAGACACACCGACTGTCTGTTTCCATCCGACTGCCATCTGATCTAATTCAACGGACGGAAGGAGAATAGATCCCCATCCATCTCTTTTTGGCGGATCGGAGCGGATTGGATGTTGGTGGGTGTAAACGGACACATATGCGTTTGCATCCTCTGCTCCATTAGAGGATAATAAAGGTTCTGATCAGGTCTGCCTGAAAAACAGACCCGATCAGAACGTCTACATGAAAGGGGCCTAAAATATACGAGCTGTGTGTGGCCATTCCTTGACTTTCCTGTTCCATGAATGTCATTGGCTAAGGCCCCTATCACATGAACATTCTGATCGAGTCTGTATGTCAGTTTTTCAGGCAGACCCTATCAGAACCAGCAAACACAAACCTCTGAGGAAGAGGCAAGTCCTCAAAACGCGTCAGCCTATTGGATGTCTACACTCCCTATTGCGGACTGTTACTCAGTGCGGTGTTGACCCAGCTGTTCTTTATGATGTGCCTTGACTATATTCTCATTTATGAGTACAACACCTACTTTATTTTTTATTAAACATTTTTTATGGTAATGCACTAGGCCTGTGCGGCCTCTGTTTTTTCTTTCCTCATTCAGACCCTTTCAGAACCTCCATTCTCCTCTATGGAAAGGATGGGTGTAAATGGACATGTGTCCGCTTATACCTGCCTGCATCGGGTCCGATCCAATCCGCTAAAAACAGATGGACCATGTTCCCCTTTTATCCAGCGGATCAGACAGGCTGTCCGTTTACATCCGACTAGGGTCAGGACAAGGGGTGGGCAGAAGGGGCAGCTGCCTTGGGCACAGTGGAGCAATGAGGTAGAGAATGGACACAGGACAGTAAACCCATTCTATGGCATGCATTGACAGTGGGGGAGCAGTTCCACATCCTTGCCCTGGGCGCTAGAAGAACTTGTCCCGGCACTACTTTCTACTGCCCATAGAGGAGACCTGGCTGTATCTGTGTCCACTGTGCATAAGTGGAGCAGACACGGACCTGTCATCCACCTGCTCAGCGGGAATCAGCAGACAGATTTCCTGCTAAATAAGTGGATCGCAGGTGGAGTCCACCCTGTGTGAAAGGGGTCTTATGCAGACATGGACCCAGTACTCCTCCCATGGTCTCCCTGTGATCCTAACTCATCATAGGAACAGACAGCAAGCATGAATTTGAATGTTCAAAGCAATCTCACCTTCACAAAGATACAAAATAATTTTAAGTAATACGTAAAAGTCTAAATTTAAGGAGTTCTCCCGTAAAGTAAACCTGTCATGAGAAAAACAGAGGTTGCCATTTCTGATCAGGCTTCTAGCTGCCAGGCTGTAATGCAGACAATCTTGTTTTAAGGCCAGTAACTCAAAGTTTAAAGCCAGTGAGTCAGCATAACAGCCAGGAAATCAGAACTTTCAGAAGGTTCAGCAACAGCAGCTCTTCTATTTCATGCATGACAGGTTTGCTTTCAGCACTGTAGAAGAGGCAAAGGACCACCAATGTTAGAGACTATCCTAAACATCAAAGGAGAAAAATCAATACCAGGTCTAATGTAATACATTTATTGTAGTTAAATATTTAACCCCATAATCTCATTTAATTTCATAGTAGGACCATTTAAAACGTTTTAGATCTTAAGTACAAGGGTCATCACTTTTGACACATTGACATATTGATAGCATATAATATACGGAACATCAATCACAGACAGCATTCGAATTGAATTAAACTCTTTTGTAACCAGGTAATATAGTGTATGTAGCAACAGTTACATATAGTATATTGCGTCTTATGTAGACTCAGGCTGGCCATACACTATACAATTTTATGTCCAATTTCTGCCCAATTTCTTATAGATTTACCTTCAATTAAGTAGTGCAAGGGCCTGCGTAATTGGATACAACTGAAAGTGTTGTTTAGGTTTGACCTCATATTATATGGTTTTTGGTAAATCTAAAGCAAAATTCTCAAGAAAATTGTATAATGTATGGCCAGCCTTAGGCTGGCCATACATTATACAATTTTACTGAGATTTTTGCTTTAGATTTACCAAAAACCATATAGAATGAGGTCAAACCTAAACTATACTTTCAATTGTATCTAATTAGGCAGGCTCTTGCACTTCATAGTGGATGGTAAATCTAAAGGAAATTGGGCAGAAAAATGGGCAGAAAACTGTAAGAAAATTGTATAGTATATGACCAGCCTAAAGCCGGCCATAGATGATGCAATTTTCCCATGGTTGCACGAAAGAAAATCACTTGATTCCCCTATCATCACAGTCAGTGTTGATGGGGGAATCCCTCCCGCAGAGCTATTGTTTTCTCCAGGTGGGAGGCATGGTGGGGAGATGTCCCTGCTGAGAGGACACAGTGATTATTGCTAGCACCTATAGCCAATGGCAATAATAGCATGAAAAATCAAGCAGGCAGGTCATACAACAACCAAATTGAGTACAATCAGCTTGCCCATAGATGGTACGAATCTCAGCTTACCCCTGCTGAACCAGCTGAACGTCAAAGCATCTATGGCTGGCGCTAGCCCCCATTCTCACGTTTTTGTTCTCCTTTTCTACCCTGACTATGCCTGACATTTAACCCATTCTTTCTAATTGGCGCTGTTTACACTTTTACCACTCAGTTGACCTACATCTATGCTCAAAAATGTATATGCGCTTTTTTTTTTTTTTTTTTTAGTGTATTCAGGTGCTTTTGACCCCCTAGACTTCAAGTGGAGAATCTGTAAACACGCAATAAGTGCATTGTGGCATTCTGAGCATTTTTACACCTGAATAACTTCTGTCATCTTGCCCAGCCTAGGAAAGTCCTAAAGCTCGATGCATGTGCAAAAACACCTGTAAAATGCCTGAAAAAACTGTCAAATTCACCACAAATACACTCTACTTAGTTCTGAATGCAGGCTAATAGTTAAAATGATAACACAGTAACTAAAATATAATTATGTATGAATACAATGTATTTATTTTGTTATTCTAATTATATTTTGGTTAATTTTCCAAATGCTTACATATAAATCATGCTGCAAAACCTTCATACATGGAGTCTTTAAAAAAATATACACCCCTGTGAAAAAAGTAAATAAAAAAAAGCAGTGCACATTCAGAGAGCTATATTCCTTCATTATTTATCCTGTTCCAGGATTATGGCAACTGTATTTGTCAATCCATAGTGCAAGTGTACAGAGGGACCCCTGAGCAGGTGGGATTCCAATGCTCTACAGCAGATCTGAGTCACAAGGTAGAGAACTCAGATGGCTCCCTGGTCTGCTGTAACTCCTATGGTGCTCTCCAGCTGTCACATCCATGGGGTTGGTGTAGGATCTAGGGCTGGAAATTACAGAAGTAGCTTTTCTACTTCCAGGATCATGCCTGTAACTGTCATTCTGTATGCTGTATCCAACTTGCTTAGGATTGTCTTCCTCCTGGGTATATCTGCTCTGGATGCTGTAGACTTGGCTGGGGTTCCCATTTTTGTTAGACATCTGTTTCTTGCTATAGTACATGGAAGCTGTGGGTTTTCCCTTGCCTTTGAAGCACTTCTTGCAGGGTGGCACAAAGCAGAGCATAAGTGAGAATCCTCCAATTAACTCCAAACAGCTGCCCAGGTACCCCAACACCAAACTGTAGCCTACGTAAATGGTTGGTGGACTAGTTGCTGTGTCAGTGCTCACCAAGTTGTAAATGATATTGTTGTACCATGAGATGGGAATCAGAGAGAGCAATCCTGAGATGAAAATGACAATGCCACTGCAACCTGACATAAGGAAATTTGGTACGTCCTCCCAGCAGCGCACACCCCAGGATGCCAATGCAATGCCAATCCCGGCGACAATTAGGGAGGCGATCATCATCCCCCTGGCAACTTGCACCACTTGTACACTGAAGTATTCAGTATTGGACTGTCCACACTGTATATTTTGATTAATGGTTGATACTTGGCAGATGTCCCAAATGCCCTGAATGTACTGGATGTCGGAGGCTAGATTGGGCAGTTTGGCCAGCGTGCGCCAATCGGGTGCTACAGTAGAAGTGAGGGTCAGCACTAACCCACAAGGGGCCAGCACCATGCCAACAATCATTGCTGCAGGGGTCCGCATTCTGCTCCTTCAGATCTATGACTATATAGTCTTTCAGATATATGAAAGGATCCTTCAGCTCTATGAATATATTAACCTTCTGATCGATAAATATATGGTCCTTCAGATCTATAAATATATGGTTCTTTGGGTTTATGAATAAATGATTCTTCAGATCTATAAATATATGGCCCCTCAGATTTGTGAATATATAATGCTTCAGATCTATAAATATGTGGCCCCTCAGATTTATGAATATATGATCCTTTAAATCTATGAATATATGATCCTTTAGATCTATGAATATATGATCCTTTAGATCTATGAATATATGTTCCTTTAGATCTATGAATATATGACCCTTAAGGGTCAATGAATATTCAAGTCTTTGAAGATGTGATCATTTAGATCTAAGAATATATGCCCCTTCAAGTCAATGAATATTCAGTCTGTGAATATATGATCCTTCAGATCCATTAATTTATGATCTTTCAGCTCTATGAATATATGGTCTTTCAGATCAATTAAAATATTGTCCTTCAAATCTATGAATATATGGTCCTTCAAGTCTATGAATACTAAGGTTTATGAATAAATTATCCCTCAGATCTAAGAATGTATTATCCTTCAGATCTATGAATTTCTGATCCTTCAGTTCTATGAATATATAGTCCTTCAGATCAATGAAAATATTGTTCTTCAGATTTATGAATATATGGTCTTTCAGATCAATGAAAATATTGTTCTTCAGATCTATGAATATATGGTCCTTCAGATCAATGAAAATATTGTTCTTCTATATATGAATATATGGTCCTTCAACTCTATGAATATTAAGGTTTATGAATAGTTGATCCTTCCGATCTATGAATATATGGTCTTTCAGGTTGATGAATATTCAGGTCTATGGATATATGATCCTTCCGCTCTATGAATATATGATCCTTCAGATCTTTAAAATATGATCTCTCCAATTTATGAATCTAAGATATGAGGAGCCTCTGATGGCCAATTCAGAGAAAGGTGGCACTTTTCCAACTCCTAGGCAGTGGATGCCAATGCAGGTACTTAGCCTTTGTAGAAATGCTTCCTGTGATCGAGCAATGCAATTTATAATCCAGATTTGTGCAATGCCCTGGCGATAGTGTCTAATCCACACCTGAGAAATGCAGAGAAAGTGAATTCAATAATAATTCAGGATGTGCTCCCGATTAGCCTTAGTCATAATTCCTATGATCCATATATTTTACCTTCCAGGGAAGACCTGTCAGCGATCAGGATACATGAAGCCAGCTTTGATCTCCGCAGGAATAACTTGCAGGATGTTTTCTTTCGGTTTGAACGGTTCCCGTATTACATTCTGCTCCCCTACGTGCAGATTCCCCTTTAAGTGCAGCGAAACCGCTCCAACAGGCTTGACAGAAACTGTATTGTGTACGGAGAAGGAAGAGGGGGCGGGGCCTCGGAGATCAACACTCCTAGTAAGGCTTCCAGGGGCGGGGCTTGCCACCTTCTTAGCTGTGTTGTAAGCTGCCGAGCCGGTCAGTAGTCTGGGGTCCTGTGTGAGGAATGCATGGAGTGTGTATTACCAGGGGAAAGACAATGTTACCTGTGAGGTGAAGAGAGCTCTCCCGCTCTTGTCTGCTTCTGTGTGGATTGGATATCAGATAAATCAGTCATGAGAGGAACAGTCTATGAGTAAAAGTATGGAAGTAGGCAGGGGTGGACTGACAACTCATGGGGCCCCCGGGTAATAGGGGATCATGGGGCCCCTGTGTCCTTGCCCAAACTCAAAAAAAGCCTATGAAAAAGTTACCAGGGGCATCTCATGGGGCCCCCTACTGACTCCGGGCCCTCGGGCAAGGTTTTGAGTTTCCAAATGGTCAGTCCACCCCTGGTCTGCACATGCGCAAGGCCCTGCAAACCGCTTCTTGGCGCAGGCACATATATCTGCATTTCTCAACCAGGGTACTGCAGCACCCGTAGTGTGCCATCTGGGGTTGGTGCTTGGTGGCAAGAATTTTTGCAATGCCACCGTCTCCATGGAATTGCATGACGTTAACTCAGAGTTGCTGGCATTAGGGGCTGCCCCACCATTCAGAAGGGTCAGTAGTCGGGTTGCACCTCATCCCATTCACTTGCCTACCAGGCACTTATACTCCCTTCCTGCCCACGACAATTTTCAGCTTTCAGCACTGTTGCACTTTGAATGACAATTGCGTGGTCATGCAACATTGTATCCATATAAAAATTTGTATCTTTTTTCACACAAATAGAGCTTTCTTTTGGTGGTATTTAATCGCCACTGTTTTATTTTTTGCGATATAAACAAAAAAAATTATAAAATTTTGCAAACAGGTAATTTTTCTCCTTCACTAATGTGCACTGATGAGGCTGCACTGATGGGCGTGGATAGGCAGCACTGATGGGCACAGATGAGGTGGCACGGATAGGCAGCACTGATGGGCACAGATGAGGTGGCACGGATAGGCAGCACTGATGGGCACAGATGAGGTGGCACGGATAGGCAGCACTGATGAGCTGACACTGATGATGCTGCACTGATGGGCACTGATAGGCAGCACTGATGAGCTGACACTGATGATGCTGCACTGATGGGCAGCACTGATGGGTAGCACTGCAGTGCACAGGTGGGTGGCACAGGTGGATGGCACTGCAGGGCACAGGTGGGTGGCACAGGTGGATGGCACTGCAGGGCACAGGTGGGTGGCACAGTTGGGTGGCACTGCTGGGGACTGATCATCAGTCCACTTCCTTTTAGCGTAGGTTCCCATCTGTGTGGTGCGTTGCTTTTTAGACCTATTTTACATGCATTTTAGACACGCTGCCATTGAACTCTGTAGACATGCATTTTGATGGAAGCCCATGAAAGGTGCAGCATGCAGGACTTTTTTTTAATGCACCACACCTGAAAAAAGCACAGAAAACGCATGGGTGTGAAAAGTCTTTACATCTGCCATAATCTGTTGCAATGCTTATTATGTAATAGTTACACCAGAAATCCTAACATTTCCTGGCTGGAAGTAGCAGGTATTTGGCATTTGAAGAGTTCAGAAGTCTATAGGCCTCTAGATTTTCATATGTAACGATATCAACATAAAATACATTTCTTCAAGTTTTGGGGAGGGAAGCTTTGAACAGGCAAACTACAGTGTATATAAAAATATATCAACAAATAACTAGTTCTTGGGTGCTGTTCACCAAACAAGTTAACTAGCTTAAAGTGTTACTAAACCCTGGACTCTGCATTCACTATATCTGATCTCCCACAGTACACACAACGTGGAAATGCAATTATTTTAGTAAATATAAACTGCTAAATACCTTTTCTAATCAGCAGTTAGCGCAGTCTTGTGACTTCTATCAGTGTTCAGCAGAGCACTGGTTAAAGCTTGCAGGAGGAGTTTTCTTTCTGCTCTAGGAGGATGTGAAACCCCTGACCCTCTGTCTGGACATTGCTGATTGGCCCTGTGCTGACCACATGCGCCCTTCCAAGAAAAAAAAAAAAACCTCTCTAGCAATACACACCAAACTGAGCATGTGCATGTGACCACGGGTTCAGTCTGTATCAGGTGGCCATTTCAACAAGAGGAGGGGCAGAGAAGAATCAGTCTGTTTACACAATGCAGAGGATTAACCCCTTAGGTTCCACAACAAGCATGCTTTCCTGCATATACAGACTGATTTTACTGTTGTGGGTTAAGTAACACTTTAAGGGTTAGGGTTAAAGTGGTTCTAAAGTCTTAGGGCTCGTTCACACTAGAATGTGGTGCAGGAGAGCCTGCTGTAGGGGTCAATTAAAAGTTAACACCTCAAATGCAGGCTGAAAACGTTGTATTTTCCTGCACTGGCCTGCACCAAATCGCGTGGTAGAAAGTACCATACGATGCAGTTGCTGTGCGTTTTAAAAAGTAATGCATGCACTGCTTTTGGTGCGATGCGATTTCAGCCCATTCAAATGAATAGGTTTGAAATTGCACAGAGCTGCAGATGAATCGCACAGAAACGCACAGCATGGTTCACCTCAGGGCATAGTGTGAACCGGCCCTCAACAAGGTTTTTCACCTTAAAGCGATACTAAAGGTTAATTTTTTTTTTTGTAAAATAACAAACATGTCTATACTTACCTGCTCTGTGCAGTGGTTTTGTACACAGCAGCCTGGATCCTCCCCTTTTCAGATCCCCTGCAGGCTCCTCCAGTCTGTCAGGTGCCTCCGCAGCAAGCAGATTGCTGCGGGGGCACCCGTTGCTCTCTGTGTTCATTCATATATGGAGCCACGGCTTGGCCCTGCCCCTTCACTCCTCATTGGCTGACTGTCTGTGATTGACAGCAGCGAGAGCCAATGGCTCCCGGTTGCTGTCTCAGCCAATGAGGAGGCAGAGACCCAGGACAGCTGAGGCTGTCATTCACATTGCTGGATCTCAATGAGGCTCAGGTAAATATTGAGGGGGCTGGGGGCACTGCTGAACATAGAAGGTAAAAACTTGAGCCTTTACAACCACTTTATTGCATTCTGTGAATTAAGGTGAAAAATCTTCTGTGCTGCAGGATCTCCCCAACCCCCCTTAGTTTACCTGAGCCCAATCTGATCCAGTGATGTGCATGAAAGCAGCAGCTCTTGCTGCTGTCTCCCTCCTCTCTGGGCAGAATGATAGCACTGGGAGCCCCTGGCTCCCAAGGACTCTGATGAGAATGCTCCCGAGGACTCACTGAGGTCTCTAATGAGAAAGAAAGGGGGGGGGGGGGGGGGGGGGCACTGAGAACACTGATGTGGAAAGTAGGGGTGGGGGCACTGAGAACTCTGATGGGGTGGGGGGGTTGCTGAGGACTCTCATGTGGAAAGGGGTTGGTTGAGAATTCTGATGTGAATGGAAAAACGGGGACTCATGGGAAAGTGTGAGAGAGTGAGGAGAAAACGAAGATATGACTTTAGATAACAGTAGAGGGTCAGCATAACATCCAGCCACCTGGCTTTTCCAGAAATGGGTCAGCAGTGACT